TTGTAGACTTTTGGATAGCAGCCATCCTGACTGGCGTATAATGGTACCTCATTGTGGTTTTGATTTGCATTTCTCTGATAATGAGTGATGTTGAGCATCTTTTCATGTGTTTGTTAGCCATCTGTATGTCTTCCTTGGAGAAATGTCTGTTGAGTTCTTTGGCCAAGTAAGCATCTTTTAATTTCATGGCTGCAATCACTATCTGCAGTGATTTGGTAGCCCCCAAAAATAAAATCTGACACTGCTTCCACTGTCTCCCTATCTATTTCCCAGGAAGTGATGGGACCACATGCCATGATCTTAGTTTTCTGAATGTTGAGCTTTAAGCCAACTTCTTCATTCTCCTCTTTCACTTTCATCAAGAGGCTTTTTAGTTCCTCTTCACTTTCTGCCATAAGGGTGGTGTCATCTACATATCTGAGGTTATTCGTATTTCTCCTGGCAGTCTTGATTCCACCTTGTGCTTCTTCCAGCCCAGCGTTTCTCATGATGTACTCTGCATATAAGTTAAATAAGCAGAGTGACAATATACAGCGTTGACGCACTCCTTTTCCTATTTGGAACCAGTCTGTTGGTCCATGTCCAGTTCTAACTGTTGCTTCCTGACCTGTGTATAGGTTTCTCAAGAGGTAGGTCAGGTGGTCTGGTTACTCATAAACAAACCATGCTCCTCTCCATCTGTTTGGAACACTTCATTTGTTGGGACTCTCTCTTTCCCTCCGTCTGCCTACTTCTGGATGAGAAAACTGAAGAGGTCAAATTGGGAAGTTCCTCAGGACTTGAAGCTAATAAGTAATTGAACCAGGGGTTGAACCCCACCAGTCTAGCTCCAGAAACTTCTAGGGTAACCCCTGACAGTAACACACTAGGCTGGGATTGCATTGTCACCTCCACTCCCATCAAAGTCCTGTCCACCCCACAAGGTCAAGGTCAAGTTGCCCCCCCACCCTCCCACCACATCTCCCTGACTTTCTATCACCATTATAAGTTCAATTTCTACAAAGCAGAGTGTCTGTGTGGTCCCCTTGGATACATAAAACACATTTTTTCACCATATCCTTTCAGGATTCAGGTGTTTGTTCTTGTTTCTCTGATGGACAGCAAAGCTCTTGGAGGACAGAAATTGTGGCTTCCATATAATTCCCATTATCCTCAGCCCATTGTAAACACAGTGGCCTGTATTAGCTGAATACATGAACAGGAAGGAATTTCTATGGCTATTTTTATTGCCTGTCAAAACAAATAATTGCCCCAGCAATTATGGGTTCTTCTTAAATTTAAACTTGGGAAAAAAATTGAGCAATGAAGTGAAAGGTGTCAAGCTCTAAATAAATAGCAGTCACCTGGGAGCCATTATATTTCCTTTACAGCAAAGCTTGCTTAAGATTCCTGTGAAAGTCTTTTCTGAAGAGCCATTCTGCTTGGTAGCTACAAGACAAATTTCTGGGGCTAGATGGCCAAGTTCAAGTCTTGGTTCTGCTACTTGTTAACTGTTAATATTAGGAAACGTAGCTGGTCAAGCTCTGTGAGCTTAGTTTTCCCATTTATAATATGGGGAGAACAGTAGTCTCCACCCCTATCTTGTGAGGATTAAACAAATTAACACAGGGGAGCACAGAATCTGATATATTGTGTTCAACATATGTCCTTTATTTGCAACGATAACCTGATTATCCTGTCCTCTCAGAACTCTTCCTAGGACTTCCTAAGACCTGGAAGTTTCCAGGAAAGGCAAGGTAATACTCTCTAGTGTTTATTTACAAAGACTCTTACCTTAAGGAGCTAATAAGCTCTGCAGACTTAGTCTAGTGAATATGTGATGATGAAGTATTTTCATGTATAGTTGGAGGAAAGAATGGGGAGGGCATTTTTGGTGTATTAGATACTATTTTACAGTTGAGGAAACTGAGGCACCAAAAGCATAGAAGAGCCTAATTATATGACTGTTGACTTGGCGCCTGCAGTTCTCCCAACTGTGTACTCAGACTGATGGAGGATGCAAATAAACAGTACACCACCTGTAAGATGACCCAGTACAGCAGAGTCTGAGTTCTGACCCACTTTTTGACACACCGCCTAGTACTCAAAGATCAAGAACCGGCTCCAGGAACTTCCCTTGCAGTCCAGTGGTTAGGACTTAGCCCTCAAAATATAGGGGGCATTGGTTCAATTCCTATTCAGGGATCTAAAATCTGCACCATACTTTTTCAGAACAAGCTATCAGTCTCTTGAGAAGTAGATGGGTAGATATCCATCCAAAAAAAAAAAAAAACTATGATAAAGCTGGGGACACCACAGATCCATTGAATAATCCATCTGATCCTGATTTGCTCTTCTGTTCTATGCCCACCGTTCAGCCAGTCACCCCTTCTGTGTTGAAAGGCCGATGGATTGAGAAGAATTCCTTGACAGGAGAGCAAATAAAGCAACTTCTGTCCTTGATGGGTCTCTTTCTTCTTTATAATCTTACCTTTTATTACCTTCATTAAGCATGGCATGCACAAAGGACCTGAAAAAAAAAAGAGAAAGAAACAATCTGAGTGTGGGTTTGGCAGCCGCTCTCCTTCCCTGGAGAACTGAGCTTATACACATAGTTTATTACCTTCTCATGCTCCTGAACACTGCTTACAGCCATATAATATCTTCTGGTGGGTAAATGAGGAACAGTTCTCTCTAGTCTGTCAATCAATTCTATTTTCCCCTTGAATCAAGGAAGTTAACAGCTTACCCCTCTGACAGCTGAGGCAGGGTTTTCTTCCTGACTTCCTACCACGGTTCTCAGAGCAGGAGGAGGAAGAAGAAAAAAGCTGTGTCCTGGAATTGTCTTGGCCCTGTGGCCACCAAAAAGAGGGAAGTCAGTACACATTCCTGCAGCATCACTAGCTAGAATGTGGCTGCGGAAAAGAAAAAGCATTCACCTTTAACTAGAGCTTGGCTGAGGCAAAAATGGTGTCCTTTCATGAGGGTGATCCAGACAGACTCCAGACTGCAAAGGGCAAGAGGATAGCGAAAGAACAAAGAAAGAACATAGAGGGACTTCCCTGGTGGCTAAGTCCAGTGACAAAGATTCAGTACTCCCAATGCAGGGGGCCTGAGTTCAATCCCTGGTCAGGGAACTAGATCTCACGTGCAACTAAATACCCGGTGCAACCAAATAAACATAAATAAATAAAATATTTTAAATGGACAAAGGATATGAATAGACATTTTAAAAAGAAAAGAAAATGGAAACACATCAAGGATAAAATTATCCATCTTCCTTTCTGAGAAAAGGCACCCAAGCCCATACCGAAGAAATGTCTGGTCATCTTTAATTTTGTTGTAGTTATTATTTAATATTGGTTATATTCTCTGTGCTGTACAATATATTCTTGCAGTTTGATTATTTTATACATAGTAGTTTGTGCCTCTTAATTCCCTTTCCCTAATATTCCCTCCCCTTCCCTCTACCTGCTGGTAACCACTAGTTTGTTCCCTACATCTGTGAGCTTGTTTCAGTATTGTTCACTGGTTGGTTCTACTGTTTGCTCAAGTGATATCGTACAGTATTTGCCTTTCTCTGTCTGACTTGTCACTGAGCATAATACTCTCCAAATGCATCCATGTTGCTGCAAATGGCAAAAATTCATTCTTGTTTATAGCTAAGTAGTATTCCATTCCATTTCCTCTCTCTCTGTCTATCTGCCTATCTTTCGATCTATCTGTACACCACATCTTCTTTATCCATTCATCTGTTGAAAAGCCACCCATTTCATACTGAAGAAATGTCTGGTCATCTTTAATTTATGTCAAGTTTTACTAAACCACTATTGCCTATAAAGTATTTGACTAGATTCTTGGGAGAAGAGGTGCAGAGATAAACAGGAGGGCTTGTCATCTCTCCATGGTGACATGTGGACCTTACCTCCTTTGGATCTTTGCCCATATCTCCCCTTCTCAATGAGGTCCACCCTGACTATCTACTATTTTTATTTTTTTAAATATATTTATTTGGCTGTGCCAGGTCTTAATGGCAGCATGCAGGATCTTTTAGTTAATGGCATTCAGGATCAAGTTCCATGGCCAGGAATTGAACCCCAGCCCCTTGACAGGGAGCATGGAGCCTCAGCCACTGGACAGCCAGGGAAGTCCCCTGACTACTTTTTAAATGCTGCCACTCTCCCCCTCCAGCACTCCTGATACCTCTTATCTTAGCATTTTTCTTCCCTTAGCACCTATCTCCTTCTGAAAAACTTAATATTTACTTACATTATTATGTTTATTACTTATTGTCAGTTTCCACACATACACACACACCATCCCCAGCACAGAGAACC